GTCTTCTGTTTATAATTCTTGCCTAACGGGGCCATTGGTCTTCTGATTATAATTCCTGCCGTTTACGGGGCCATGCAACACACCGCTGGCTGCTTTGTTTATCGTTTATAGGATACGATTTGAGATTGGTCTTCTGTCTATAATTCCTGCCTAACGTACATGATGTATTATTGTTAACTACATGCATCAAACCAGCGAGGCCGACAGCGTGCGAGACGTCGATGACATTGGTACAAATATGGGTATCAAGTCAGTCCAACAGCTTTCAATCATTCGAAATGGTACATTGGAACACAAAATCATTCGAATGGTGCGTTAGTAGATGAACCAACCCATCAATGATGTGGTGCGTCAGTGGACAGGTGCGACAGGTACGCATGCGTGACAACAATAATGTGACACAACGCTCCAACGACCATAAATCGCAAGACCAAGTTTCGGCCACAACCAACATTGTCACGCATAGCGGCAAGCGTGCCAAAGTTCTGGTCCCTCGGAACTTGTGGAGAAATTGTTCGGCATATCGTCCTCATCTGGTGTATTAGCATGCAAACAACGTTTCGGGCTGGATGATGCTTGCCGTTGTTGGGTGTGAGACTGGGCACCGTCAAATCTATGCCCGGCCATGCACGTGTCGCAACCCAAATTTTCTCCTTGGAATTGCTGGGATTCTAATCAGTCTTCTAATTGTGAGTTCGGAGCTATTCCGGCTCAGCGAACTGGGAAAGTCAATACTTCCGCAGACCTGTAACCAGACATATGCCTGGTTCCTAATACTGGTTCCTGGTTTCCACTGCTCCTTTTGACAAAACAAGGTGCTGGATCCTGGTTCCCACTGATTCTTTCGACAAAACAAGACGCTGGATCTTGGTTCCCACTGGTTCTTTCGACAACACAAGACTCTGGATCCTGGTTCCCACTAGTTCTTTCGACAAAACAAGATGCCGGATCTTGGTTCCCACTGGTTATTTTGACAAGACAAGACCCTGCATCTTGGTCCTCATTAGTTCTTTTGACAAAACAAGACCCTGGATCCTGGTTCTCACTGGTTCTTTCGAAAAGACAAAACCCTAGATCCTGGTTCCCAATGGATCTTTTGACAAGGCATTATGTTGCATCCTGGTTCCCATTGGTTCTTATACAAAACAAAACCCTGGATCTTGGTTCCCACTGTTTCTTTCAACAACACAACACCTGCAGCTTGGTTCCCACTGGCTATTTTGTAAGCACTGGCTTCAGCTCCTGGTTTCCCTTGTTTTTCTGTCAATACCAGCCCCAGGTTCCCATAAGTTCTTTGGCAAGCAACAGAAATACCAACGTGCCATGAATACTAAACACCATGTCTCACAGTTCACTCCAGTAATTTTACCAACACTAGACTCCTGAGGTCAGCATATGGAGTACTCTGACAGTCTTGGGACATTGGCAAAATTGGCCTAAAAAGGTCACCCAGCACAAACCAAACACTTTGCTCTAAAAAAGCAGATCATTACAATACAGACAAGTCGAAATAAACTGCATGCCCTGCCCTGCCCATGCCCTGACTCTGTAACAACAATACAGCTTTTCCAGATGGTTCTATATATATATATATATATATATATATATATATATATATATATAATATAAAATAGATATA